CTCTTTCCTTTCCCCGCAGGGCCCTGCTCATTGTGTGTCAGGCAGAGGCTGGGGTGGGAGGATCTCTTCCAGCACAACGCTGGGCTCCTGGGGGACCAAGGCAAGGCTGTCACTTGCTATAAATACAGTCCCTGGTCAGGAAGGCCTGGGAGCTGTGGAGCTATCACCCTCTTGGGGGACAGCAGGGGATTAGCCCTCCCCCCCCACTCTGAGCAGCTGATGCTGGCATTGGGCTGGCTTTCTCCTGATTGCCGGGCTGTTAATTTGTTCTGTTGGTCTGGGAGTCAGCGAGCACAAAAGCAATAGCATTGCTGGGATCTGCAGCGGGGAGGGAGGGAGCAGAGATGAGGATCAGGGTGAGCCAGGCGGCTGTTGGGTTCAGCCATGCAAAGGATGGAAATCTGGGTAGGTGCCAACTTGGGGAGCTGGGGATGGGCACAGCTGCCCCCACCCTGCTTTTAATTCTGTCAGTCTGCCTGTGGCAATCCAGGTTTCCCTGCTTCCTCCTGCATGCCTTCTCCATACCAGGCCTCCTAGGCATTTCAGCTTCACCCTGCAGCCCACTCCCCCTCTCCTAGCAGACATACCACACTCTGCAGCAGGGCAGGCTCTTGCCTCCGGCTTTCAGCCCAACACAAAGACAAAGCTGGCTGAAAAGCACTTGCTGGCCCCTGGGGGATCTCCAGGGGGTTTAGCTAGAGCTGTGTTTAACTGATTAGTCAATTACTTGATTACAAAATGATGAATTGACTAATTGGGATGACGAGAGAAGAGCCTCGCTTGCAATATAACTAACCAGATGGTGACAGACCAGTCTGTGCATCCTGACAGGGGGCTGTGCCCCCTCCAGCAGCATCAGAAACATCATTATGCCTTCCAGGAAAGCCTCCATCTTGAGGGGGGTGGGAGAAGGAGATGAAGGGGGTTGGGGGTGGCAGAAGGGAGATAGGCCTCCTTCCTCTGTCCCACTTTCTTGCTATCCTTTTGAGGCTTTGTCACAATCCTTCTGGCTCAGGAAGATTACAGTTAATACTTGCAGGTAAACTTTCATCCTAGCAACGTGCTCGCAAGGAAGGGAAACGGGTTTTCCGTTCGATCACAAGGGAAGCATGGAGGAAAACAACCTGGCATTGAAAAAACTGGCCCAACTCACCCAGCGTCATGCAGCTGGATGGGTGACAGAGCTGGGAATTGAACCCAGGTGTCCTGACTTCCAGGGAGGGTCCCTCTCCTCCAGCTGTAGACGGCACGCTGAAACACATTTGCATCTTGAGCACACGTGAGACTGCATGAGGGAGGGAAGGGGAAATTTAGGCCAATATTACTGGGGAAAGCCCCTGTCCCTACAGATCTTTCAATACTGGGAGTCCTGATGTACCTCAGGAAGGTGTTGGGCTGTGCTAAGGATGCTGAGATTGGGATCAAGGAATCTGGGATGGACCAGCACCATTGCTTCTGCCCCCAAGCCCTCTTCTGTCTCTTAGTGAGGTTGAGTTATGAGCCTGTCTCTTGGCCATAATGGGGCACACTGGTAGACTGGTTGAGGTTTCTTGCTACAGATCCAAAGGCATGAATGTGAGCCTTGCTCTGAACTTAAGCTAAAGGCTGACCCAGCTGTAAACTGGTGGCTGGATGCGATGCAGGTATAATGGGCCACTAGGCTCAAGAGCACCTTTGAGCTGTTGGCTATTAGCACTCCTGATTTAACCAGCTGCTGGGGTCAGCATTGAATAGCATGAGGCTCTTCCTTTTGTCTCTTCTTACCCCTCCAGAAAAATAACCTGCTCTTTCGAGCTGGATGTGCTGCGTCAGCCTTTGCAATGCGACATACTCTGAATGACTTCTCCTCCAGGCCCTCTGCTGGGCAGTGCCAAGGTCTGGCTCGCCAGCGGGGGGGGGGG